CTATAAAAGTTACAAGACGGTCATTTAACCACTGATCACTTATAATGATGCAAATTAGAAATATTAGAAGTTGTAGCGTGTCGCCTAGGTTTTTTCTCTTTCACATACGGTGCATCCATATCAGGTACATCAATATCAATGCTTATTGCAAATTTCTATAACCTTAGATACAAGTTCTTTCCATCCATCATTCCTTATTTCTTGTAATTCTTGTTTGGTAGCATTAACAAGTGACAAAGTATTGAAGCACATCCATCCATCATATATAACATGAAGATAAAATAAAAAGATTGAAGCACATCTAACAAAAGCATAGTTTCACCATATTTTTCAAATGACATATCATTCCCAACTTCTTCAAGTACCCCAATAATGGCACCATACAAAGTCATCAAACTAGTGAGAGTCCTAAAATGGGAACCTCAATGAGTGTCACATGTTCTAGCAATAAATGATTCTTGATTTAATCTACTATCAATCTCTATCTAACCCTCTTAAATCAATTTAGAAAATTGAGTTACTTGTTTGTCTCAAAGCAATTTTTGTCTCTTGTTAGAAGATCATATGAAATTAATAAGCATGTTGACTTTACCGAAAAAACCAATAACATCTTTGTGAATCTTACACATGTAACAAGTGTCAATTGAAGTTGATGGGCAAAACAATGCACATAACAAGCAGATGGATTCTCATTTTGGATTAAAGTTCTCAAACCACCAAACTTACCTCTCATATTGCTAGCTCTGTCATACTCTTGCCTCCTAATGCTAGATAAACTCAAGCCATTAATAGACAACAACTTCTCAAGTGCCTCCTTAAGTGACTTAGCACTTATTTCTTTAACACTGACAATGTCAAGAAATATTTCTTTTACCAAACCTTCACTATTTACATAGCGAATAACAATGACCATTTGTTCTTTACCGGCAACATCACCAGATTCATCAATCAAAACACAAAACACATTGTGGGATTTTGGATCGAACTCTAGTTGGTCGAAGTACTTGCTGTAGTCGAAGAAGGTTCTAGCATGTATTTGTCGAAGGATGCTTGTCGAATTAGGTTTTAGTGTTTAAACCCTAATTTGTTAAGTTAGCTTGTTTGTTAAGTTAGCTTGTATAATGGGCCTTGTGGAAAAAGCCCAGTATTTAGTATGTTAGGTTTTATTATAAATAGCATACTAGTCTCTCATCATTGCAACACAGCAAATCCTAATTTAGGGTGAGAGGGTTATTTGTTATTCTTGTAAACTTGTAATCTTGTTTTCTAAGAGAAAGTAAAGAATAGCAGTTATAACCAATTCTTGTGTTCTTCTTCTTCCTTGTTCTTTATTCTTCCCAAATACTATACTTTGTTATTGGCATTGAATTCACAACAAATTGGTGCGGTGAGCGTGGAGAAGATGCCTTCGACAAAGTATGAGATCGAAAAGTTCACCGGAGTGAATGATTTCGGTCTATGGCGCTTGAAGATGAAAGCCCTACTGGTTCAGCAGGGTTGTTTGGAAGCGTTGAAGGGAGCGACGGCGATGGACGCTGCGTTAACAGAAAGAGAGAAGACGGCCATGATCGAGAAAGCACACAGCGCAATTTTGTTGAGCCTTGGTGATAAGGTTCTTCGACAGGTATCAAAAGAGACGACGGCATCAGGGTTATGGGTGAAACTCGAAAGTTTGTATATGACCAAATCTCTGGTAAATCGACTCTACCTGAAGCAAGCTTTGTATTCATTCAAGATGACTGAAGACAAAGTGTTGGCTGAGCAGTTGGATATGTTCAACAAGCTGATTCTTGATCTTGAAAACATTGATGTAAAGATTGATGATGAAGATCAAGCGCTGTTATTATTGTGCGCTTTGCCCAGATCACATGCTCACTTCAAAGAAACCCTCTTGTATGGAAGAGAGTCCCTGACCTTTGAAGAAGTTCAATCAGCTTTGTACTCTAAGGATTTGAACGAACGTAAGGAGCATAAACCTTCGACGGTTGGTGAAGGTTTGACTGTTAAAGGAAAATTCGACAAGAAGAAAGGTAAAAATCAGTCGAAGTCTTATAGTGGTGACTCATCTGGTATTAGATGCTATCACTGTAAGAAAGTAGGTCACACAAGAAAGGTGTGCCCTGAACGCCTGAAAGATCATGGAGGTAAGGATAATGGCAACGCAGCTATTGTCCAAGATGATTTCGAATCATCTGATGTTCTTGTGCTTTCAAGCAAAAACTCGTCGAAGGAATGGATTATGGATTCTGGATGCACTTGGCACATGACTCCAAACAAAGACTTGTTCGAGGAATTATGTAATCAAGATGGTGGATCTGTATTGCTGGAAACAACAAAGCTTGCAAGATTGCAGGCGTTGGATCTGTGAGATTCAAGCTCCATGATGAGTCAATAAGATTGTTGACTGAAGTCAGGTATGTACCTGATTTGAAGAGAAATCTGATTTCTCTTGGTGAATTCGACAAGAAAGGATATGTTTTTCAAGGAGAGAAAAGTATCCTGAGAGTCATGAAAGGGTCGAAGGAAGTCTTGAGAGGCGTGAAGAAACAAGGCTTGTATACCCTTGAGGCTGAAGTTGTAAGTGGTTCGACAAATGTTGCATCCACGAAACCTTTGTCGAAGACAGAAATTTGGCACATGAGATTGGGCCATGTCAGTGAAAGGGGTCTGGTCGAATTAGGGAAACAAAATCTGCTTGGTGGAGATAAAGTCGAAAAGCTGAAGTTTTGTGAACCCTGTGTACTTGGAAAATCCTGTAGAATGAAGTTCAACAAAGGCAAACAAAGAACACATGGATCCCTTGATTACATCCATGCTGATCTTTGGGGGCCTGCAAGGTGTCCATCACATTCAGGAGCAAAGTATTTTCTATCCATAGTAGATGACTATTCCAGAAAGTTATGGGTATTCATCCAGAAGACTAAGGATGAAACTTTTGAGAATTTCAAAAGTTGGAAGACTCTTGTCGAAAATCAAACTGGCAGAAAGGTAAAAAGGTTGAGAACCGACAATGGCCTTGAGTTTTGCAATGAGGCGTTCGACAGTTTTTGTGTTGCCTCTGGTATTGCAAGGCACAGAACTACCGCAGGTACTCCACAACAAAATGGTTTGGCTGAAAGGTTTAATCGAACTATTTTGGAGAGAGTTAGATGCATGTTGACTAGTGCGGGATTAAAGAAGGTGTTTTGGGCTGAGGCTGTTTCGACAGCAGCATATCTGATAAACAGATGTCCTTCGACAGTGTTAGTGTTGTACCCCAAAATTTGCCCTCCCATATTCTTCAAAGAATTGCCAAGCCAAGCTTCAAATCTCCCCAAGGGTTGCACAGTGCAAGGGCCTCCTAAGCAAGCAAAATTAGGGTTTTGGTTCTGGTCAAGAAAATGAAGTTTCAAAGGGCCCAATCAAGTCCCACATGCCTACAAATAGGGTCAAACATCCTCATATCAAGTTTCAAGACTTTCAGCACAAAATTGCACAGTCAAAAACCCTAATTGCACTACAGTCAACTGTAGGGGCAAAATGGTCATTTGACAGTCAAAAGTTCAAATTTTTGGTCAACATCTTATTTTGAAGCCACAAACATCATTTGATCAATGCTTGATCATGATTCTCAAAGCTTGGCTCAAAAATCATCAAGATACAAAAGTTTCTATTTTTGGACAGCTGAAAAAGTCAACTGAAATTGACCAGGGCATAACTTTCACATGGATTATCAGAAAAATTCCATCCAAAGCTCATTTTGAAGAGAAAGACATTTCCTACAACTCATCTTCATACTTCAAGTCCAAGAAATGCTCTCACAAAAAGTTATCAATTTCAACATTATAGGTCATTTTCAAAAGTCAACAAAAAGAGACTTTAAGTCAAGGGCCATAACTTGAGATTGGTAAATCAAAATGACATGGGACCAAAGACATTGGTTAGAGGACTTCAAGACCTTTCCAAAATGTCCAAGAACATGATCAAAGCTTAAACATTTAGCAAGATATGCATTGGAGAAGTTTGGAAATTTTTGTGAAATGGCCAAAATCATTTATCCTTGAAATTTCATTTTTGACAAAAGGGGCCCACTTTTTCCACTTGAATTAACTTGGCCATGCTTCCCACGTGTACCACCTTTTATTTCATATTTTTAAATTAATTTTTTCATTTTTAATTGATTTTATTGGATTTAATTAATTTTAAATCTTTTAAAATCAAAAGAAAATCAAAAAGTTTAATTAAAAGGAATATTTGGTCTTAACTAACTTTGACTCATCATTATGCAACCTACCAATTTTGTTTCAAGGCCAAATGGAGCAATAATTCAAAAATTGGTTCAAAATGGAAAGTTGGTTAAGGGAGTTTATGTTAGAATCTCAAGCTTGAATGCATGGAATGATGAGCCTTAATGCTGATCAGAATCACCTACATTTCCAAGAGAAAAGGGTGAAACTGAAAACAACTTTCCACTATCTCCCTCACTTGATAACATTTGGTCAGTTTCATCTTTGTTTGCAGTAAACCATTACCCACATCCTAACACTACTACTAATCTACCTTATTTTTTCATCTATTTTGGTTAAACACAAAAACCATTTTTCCACGCTTTTGTCTGTTCATAAGCACAAAACCGAAACTTTGCATGCATATTTAAAGTCTTGCTAAATACATAAACAAACATGAATAAATGCATTCAATGTCCGAATCAGAGAATCAAGGAATAATGAATTCCATTTCCTAAACGGAAAAGACTGAAAAGGAAATTGCATTCAAAAGACTTAATTTTATTTACTAGTCTTTGTTTCCAAAACTGCTATAAAGCCTAGAGAAATACAGAAGGAAAGGGAGAAAAAAAAAAGAGAAGCTATTATAGAGAAAATTTTACAGAAACAAGCTTGTTCACTGATACCGGCATCGTTAATCCATAAGCACGAGGGATTTGTTCATTGCACAACCGCCAAGCACACAACTTCCTGAGTAACACCGTATAATCGAACAACAACAACCGTGAACCGTCGCTACCACAGCAACCTTCGTCCAACACCACCCTTCCGCGTAGCAGCTCCACCGGAAAGAACTCCTCCGTCTACTCCCTCCGCAAAACTGCTACAAACAAACACCAACAAGCCGCTTTCCTCCGGTTTGCAAGATCCGCCGTCACACCTGGCCGCCGGCAACCCTGTTAGTTTTCTCTTACCTTTTTTTTTGTTGCTATAATCGATTGTTGGAACTTGATTCATGGTATTATATTTGTTTGATTTGAGAAAAGCATGAATTTTGGTTATGGAGTTTTTTTTGTGAATTTGAAAAGAAAAGGGATTTTGGGGAAGAAGAGAGGAGGTAATGGTAGAAAGAATAGAGATACTGTATATTGCTTTTTCTTCTCACGTTTACTGATGCCTAAGGTTAGTATCTTGTTTTTATTTTTTAAAATCAATTTCAAAGTATTAAGTATCCATTAAAAAACCTTTAAAAAAAACATTTTTATTAATTTTAATTTCAATCACCTTTTTTTGTAAATAAATATGGTTAATTAACTTAGTCTTTTAAAATTAGAGCAACTTTAATTTTTTTTTTTTTCATAATAAATAAAATCAAGCTTAGATTTAGGTTTTTCTTTTGACTTTTAATTTTCTTTTATTTTATTAAAAACATAAAAAATAATTACTCTATCATTAAATTAATTTAACTAACATTTTCATGAAAAACCAAAAAATATAATTAACATTATTATTATTATTAACTAATTTGTAAATACTCTTGTAAATAAACAATTAGTAAATTAGGATTAAACTTAAATATTTTTCTTTAACAAATTAAAAATAGTGTAGAATTAGGACTTCTAATTTCAATTAATTTTCTTTATTTCATTAAATACCAAAAAACATAAAAATATTTTCTTTTCTTAAACGTTAATTAATTTGTAATTTCAATTTAATTCCTTTAAAGGGTCCAACGCCCTCGCACCTTCGAATTCTTATTTATTTTCGCGCGTTTGTCTTTATTTTCATTTTAAACATTATGTAATTACCCCAAGGCCTTGTAATAATAATTAGGACATTTACTTTCCGCACTTTTGTTCAAAAACGGGTCTGGATTAATTTGGCGTTGTAGACCCGCGCCTCTGTAATAGCGTAGGACATTTATCTTTTCCGCACTTTAAATTTCCGCACTTTTAACTGTTAAATAATAACATGAAAGAATGAATGCCCAAAAAGTAAAATCAAAACGTAGATCACCAATGCATGACAAGACAAACAATAAACTGAAAATGACACACAATTCACACACCACCCCTAGGGTACGCTTCACTGTTGCCTTGCCCCTCGAAAGGTGGTCGTCGAGTAGAGGATGTCTTAGTAAGTCCTCATGATCCGGGAACCTGGCATGAGGGTAGCTTCTAAGGTGTCTTCCCATTGCTCTGGTGATCACCATGTCCCGAACCTCGAATTGACCCGAACACCTTCAACGGTGGTGCTACCTACCTCTCAATGGTGGGATGGCACTACCTAAAGGACACTTACACAGCTTAATCCCTTAGGGTAGGTAGATGACTCATAGATACTTGCTCTTTTCAAAAACAAAATACTTTTCACACCTTACACTTTCAAAAGCTTTCAAAACAAATTTTTCAAACACTCTTGAGGACAGATACAAGAGTTAGTCAGAAATCTTTCAAAGAAACTTTTTCAAACCCACTCACATTTGAAAAGCAAACAAATCATTTTGAAAACACAATGAGCAAGTATCTAAGAGCCCATGGATAACCATGGATAGAAAGGGTGCTAACACCTTCCCTTTCTATAACCTACCTCCCGAACCGAGAGCGATCTCTTTAAAGGAATTTTTCTGTGCTTTTGTCCTTTCCAATTGGAGAAAGTAAAAGACGGTGGCGACTCTTGCTTACCGCGACATTTCGCGAAACCAGCTTTAAAACAGTCAGTTCCAGATCCACCGATCACAGAACTGGCGACTCTGCTGGGGAGTAAAACTTAAAGTGGGGTGTACCTTAGGATTAAGATCACTGTGTTTTCAATTGTCTTCTTTGCTTGCTTTACTATTGTGGGTTGCATCGGAGTTACATAGATCCTAACCCGGATCTGGGGATACCCTGTTTAAGTAGCATAAGCTGTGAGGGACCTGTCCGGCGTAGACCGACATGGGTGAAGCAGTGGCTACGTTGGTGTGGCACCTTGGTCTGTACCGATATCCCTTGTGTCGTAACGAGGAGAATATGGGTCTTCCAAGGAGTCATTAAGCACCAACAGACCTTAGAACCTTAATTGACACAACTTGGCCTTTAGAACAGTAGCAGTATGCTACGCCCATTGAGGCTAAACTCTCGTGATGGTTCTGGCCGCAAGAAAAGATTGCGATGCTGGAGTTATGACCGATTGAGGGTAGTCAATGATATTGGGATCCTCTAAGAACCCGGTTACTTTTGATTAGGACAGGTATGAACCAACAAACTGAAAGAGGGTAGTACCTAGACCTCATGCTGGCCTAAACTTTAAGGGTTTGCTTTGTGTGACTGGTGTGCCTTACCATGTTTGCCTTTGTATCTATTTGTGGTGTGCTTTATCATAGCATCATAACATCATGAGCATTGCATACATCCTGCATAAGGACTGACCGTTTCAAAGACAAGAGGGTTTCATCTTTGCTCTATTTTGTAGGACACCATGATGCCTGTGCGAAGGAATACTATCCGATTCAACTTTGTTCACCCACCTGAGTTGCTTGAAGAGTTGGTTAGCAGAATTCCAAATACCACCTCCTTCATCCAGAGGCATGGTTCTCTTCTCAGTTTAGTCACTGCAAAACAGGATCAACAGCTGATGAGTGTTCTGACCCAGTTCTATGACCCTCTGTACCAGTGCTTCACCTTCCAAGACTTCCAGCTGGTCCCTACCCTGGAAGAGCTCTCTGATTTACTTGGTATCCCTATCTTAGATCAGACTCCTTTCACTGGCTGGGAAAAGACCCTCAGGCTTGAGGATGTTGCTGCAGCTCTTCCCTTGACACATCAGGAAGTAACAGACAATTGGGTAACTAGAAGCGGAGTTAAGGGTTTCTTGGCTAAGTTTCTAATTGGTAAAGCTAACAATTTCTGGAATGACCTGGACTTTAGGGCCTATGAAGACATCTTGGCTCTCCTAATCTATGGGTTAGTCCTGTTTCCTAATCCTGACAACTTCATCAATGTCACTGCCATAAGGATCTTTATGTCTCAGAATCCTGTGCCCACCCTCTTGGGTGACATCTTGCAACAACTTCATGCTCGTACTACCCGAAGACGAGGAACCCTATGGTGTTGTATCCCTTTGTTGGTGAGGTGGTTTATTTCGCACCTCCCTAAGTTCGTACTGAAGAACCAGGGAGGAAAAGGATGGGCTCACAGGTTAATGTCTCTCACCGATAAAGACGTCATTTGGACTTACAGAGGTTTGGATGAGATAGCTGTTATTGATCGATGCGGAGAATACCCTAATGTTCCTCTTATTGGTACTCAAGGAGGGATCTCTTACAATCCATGCCTAGCACTCCGTCAGTTTGGAAGAGCAAGAAGAGCAGGGCCCCATGAGATGTTGGTGCCTCACATCAGTTTTGAGTTTCAAGTGGATAGTGACGAGCTGCGTCGTAAGTTCATCAAGGCTTGGGACAAGGTTCATAAAGCTGACCCACAAGAGTTAGGGCCAAAGACTTCTTTACCTATGGAAGCCTACTACAAATGGGTTCGCATCCGTGCTCAGAAGTTAGGTATGCCGTATGATGCTGTCAGACCTGTCGTTCTTGAGTCTTCTGACAAAGATGGTGTTCCTCCAACTGTCCTCCCTCCTCAGGTACCCACTGATTATGAGACGTTGAAGAGGTCTTGGTCGCAACTGCAAGAAGAACGGGATTCTTACCGGGAAAAGTTCAACGAGCAGGAATTAAAGATCCAGAAGCTGACAAAGCAATTGGAGAATGAGCGAGCCCTGAATGCCTACATCCGTACTGAGAAGAGGAGACCATGGGATCAATAAGGAGCTCTGGATGTTCTTTTTTTACAGTTTTATTTCCCTTTTCAGTATTTCCTTTCATGTAACGCCTAAGGGCAACCTGTTGAACAATTTAAGCTGCAAAATTGAATCTAATGAAGTGTGTTCCTTTTGTTTACAAAGTTGATTCCCGATTGTCTTTGAAAACATAATTCATACGCATCTCATTCATCATATGCATCACAGGTACTCTTCTTTTCAGGTTGCTTACCGTTCTTCGCTGTTTATTTCAGCATCATGAACCCTGAATCATCAACCGAGGCATCTATCAAGGCTCTTCAGGCGCAGAACGCCCAATTCCAGGAGCTGATCAAGGGCTTGGCTCAGGGTCAACAAGAGCTGAAGACTATGCTTCTGAAGCAGAATAAGAAGAAGAAGAGGACTGTGCTATTCAACACTGGGCGCAGACTCGGGAACACCTTACAGGTTGAAGCTGAGAGGACTACTCCGTCTGTGGGGGAAGGTAGTCACCAAGAAAGGGAGGTCCCTAGTCCTGTGGTCTCTGATACTGAAACAGACTTCAACGACGAACAGTACCCTCCTGCTGAAGACCGGTACAAGCAGCTGGAGGACAGGTTAAAGGCTATGGAAGTTCAGCGTGTGCCTGGACTGGATTTCGGAGACTTGGGGTTATCTACTGGGGTGGTGATTCCACACAAGTTCAAGGCACCCGCCTTTGTGAAGTATGACGGGGCTTCCTGTCCCAAGATGCACCTCCGTTCTTATGTAAGGAAGATCCAGCCTTACACAGCAGACAAGAACCTTTGGATCCACTTCTTCCAGGAGAGTCTTTCAGGGACTCACCTCGAATGGTTCTATCAGCTGGATGGAATCAGCATTCGTAACTGGGAGGATCTGGCCACTGCTTTTTACAAGCAGTATCAATATAATTCCGACCTCGCTCCTACGCGTACCCAACTCCAGGGTATGTCGCTAGGGTCGGGTGAAGGTTTTAAAGAGTACGCACAGAAATGGAGAGACTTGGCTGGCAGGGTGCAGCCACCATTGACGGACCGGGAGCTGGTGGATATGTTTTTGGGGACCCTTTCTGGTCCGTTTTTCAATCATCTCATCGGTAATTCCTCTGCTGGGTTTACTGATCTGATCCTGACTGGTGAGAGGATCGAGGCCGGTATAAAATCAGGGAAGATACAGAAGGTTGCCTCCTCAAATGCTGAAAAGAAGCCCTTCAAGAAAGA